AATTACATGCTGGGAAAAGATCTGCCCTATTTTCACTGGTTAGTTATTTTCCTGCCATATCGCAACCCAAGACACAGTTAATGAATGTAATGACATGTTACTTGGAAATTTTCCAAACAGCTGTGCTAGACTCACTGATGGCAGAAGGTGTTATTAATGGGTAAATTCCATTTCGGCAACCAGTCCTGCGAAGTGCAGAATGCCTTCGACTCCCATTTTTTCAACACCAAGGCCCTGGTTCATCAAAGCCCTTAAACACGTGCCTAAATTGAACTGCCTTGCTACATAAGGATGGGATTACTCAGGTGCTTAGCACAGTGAATGTGTTTAAGTGCTTTGCTGAAGCACTGAATAAATTATGGGGGAAGTTCACTCCTGGGCAGAGGGCCACCACGAGGCATATACACCACGTAAGCTGCACTTAAATCCTCAGATATTAGGGCCTGATCCTAGAAAGGGACTCCCATTGATTTCAGTGGTCTTTGGATCAGGTCTCTAAGGTACACCCTTGATGTGGTTTATTGCTTAAAAAACGGGGCAAGTATATGCCCTTCATGTCCCTCACAGCTGCTATTTGTTGTAGTAGCTGACGGTATGATATTGGTTCCTGGAAAGGTAGACGTCTGAGAGTAGAAAGGAGAAATCATAGTATTAATTTTTGTTGCTGTCGTCTTGTTAACTGACAGAAGTGCCAATAAATAAGAAAGAAGTTGCATGTTGTGCACTAAATAGGCTCGCAGCAAGAGGCTGTGCAATCTGTGAGAAAGAGAGAGGGCGTTTCACATTGTGTTGACGAGCGTTGGAGAAGGCAGTGTTCCCTTGAAATACTAGGGGATCAGAATCTTTTCCATAGTCTCATATCCTTTTGCGAAAGTGCCTTTCCAAATATTATCCTGGACTGGAAACCAAACTCTTTTTGCCATGCAAACCCTGGCATCACAGTTATTTTTACATGCACAGTGGGAATTTGAATGGCTTTCTGTGGAAAGATTCAGGCATAGAGCTTTTGCAATAATTAGATCCGACTGTGAAAAACAACTCTGATTGCTCCATATTATTATTAAAGGGCATTTGCCAACAAATGAAGAAACACATGCCGTTCACAAGAATTGTGCTAATGCCACTCTGAAATTTAATGGGAATATAAAATTAAAAGCAGGTTACCAAAATCCTTTAGAACCCCTAACTGCATCCCACACATTGACTGGCTTCAGAGAGACACTGGGAAATGAACTGATTTGTTAGAATTAACCCCCATTAATTATGAGTGATTACACTGGATATAGCAACAGAGGGTCCTGTGGCACCTTTAAGACTAACAGAAGTATTGGGAGCATAAGCTTTCGTGGGTAAGAACCTCACTTCTGCCATTACTTGCATCTGAAGAAGTGAGGTTCTTACCCACGAAAGCTTGTGCTCCCAATACTTCTGTTAGTCTTAAAGGTGCCACAGGACCCTCTGTTGCTTTTTACAGATTCAGACTAACACAGCTACCCCTCTGATACTTTACACTGGATATATACCCCTATCTCATAGAGCTGGAAGGGATGCTGAAAGGTTGTTGAGTCTAGCCCCCTGCCTTCACTTGCAGGACCAAGTACTGATTTTGCCCCAGATCCCTAAGTGACCCCCTCAAGGATTAAACTCACAACTCTGAGTTTAGCATGCCAATGCTCAAACCACTGAGCTATCCCTCTCCCCCTAAGGTAAAGATGCACAACTTTCCTTTTCAAAATTTAAGTGGGAATGGGCACCTTAAATTGATTTAGGCCTTGATTCTGCCACCCTTACTGATCCTGAGCGGTATCTTATTCCTTGAAATGAATGGAACTACCTAAGTAAGTAAGATCGTATCCAATGGGCCAAATTCTCAACTGTTATACTGAAGTCAGTGGAATTACCCTAATTTACACCCCTTTCTTTTCTCCCCCTCCTCTCACTAGGCCATGGGGTGGGGGGAGAAGGGAATGCTCTTGGTTTAAATAAAAATCACCTTGGTATCCCTGGAAAAGGAAATTTATGGGTCTAATAATATGGCTAAGTGAATGTTCTGACTGAACTGTAGAATAGATAGTACACTCTATGTGGGCGGGGGGAAGGGGGGCAGAGGGGGTTGCACTCAGCACAAAATTCTTGGCTGTGGAGAATCACATTGCAATATGGCTTAAGGCTGTGCAATATAAGGCAGAACTGCCAGGTGTTGACACAGTGTATCAGTAAGCACCTTTCATATAAACATATTTATTTAATGTAATAAATAAATTAATTAATTACTTTTACAAACTATTGTAAGTCTTTGTTGGGAAAACAGTTTTTATCGCTCCCATTCCTAAATGGAACGTTAGCTTCAGAAAGCCCTTCAAGATTCTAAATACTAGTGGTTAAAAGGTATCAGAAGAAGGATCTGTATGCAGGCCTTTTGTTTCTTACTTTAAATAAAGAGACTGGTTCTCCTCTGACACAGAGGTACAAATCTGAAGTAATGCCAATGAGAGGAGTCAGACCCACAGAATAGTTTCGAAATTTAATTCTGCCAGAGCTGCATTCCATCACCTCCTTGATTGCCATTTTAAGTTGTGGAGGACGTGGCCTTATCTGCCCATGACCCTGTGTTTAAAAACAAACAAGGGACATTTTTTATTGTCAAGTATTGATAGCAGAGTTAAACATTGATCTCATTAGCAATAACAAGCACAAATAGCATACTTTCTTTGCAAAAGAGAAATGGGTGCATAGACTATGGCTTTCACTTCGCTTGCTTTGGAATTTTTAAACACTCGTCTTATTTTGCACACACACTGAACCTTCTGCCCAAGGATCTCATTAATACCGCTGCAACCACTGGTGCTAGTGATAATCAGTGACAGTAGCTTGGTTATGCTTTAGTTGTGTGTGCTGTTTAATGGGATTCAGTTTCCAATAGTGGTATATCCTACACCAGGATTTAAATCCACAGAGTATTAAAAAATAACTTTACATGTCTGAGATTTCATAGTGTTGGAACGATAAGTGACCATTGTGTATGTGTTTTATTTATTTATTTTGTATTAGGAATCGGTTATGCTTCCATAGTGATTGTGTCCCTTCTGAATGTGTACTACATCGTCATCCTGGCTTGGGGAGTGTACTATCTGTTCCAGTCATTTCAGAGCGTCCTACCTTGGTCGCTTTGTGGTCAGAAGTGGAACACACCTACTTGCGTGGAAGACACTCTCAGGAAGAACAAAACACTCTGGTTGTCACTGAACATTACAAACTTCACATCGCCCGTCACAGAGTTTTGGGAGTAAGAACATGCATTATTATTTTTAAGAGCACTTTATTTAAAGGACAAAAATCATAAATGCAAATAGCTTCTTCTATTGAAACTCCATGGGGAATTTTAGGTACGGGAAAATGAATAGATCTAGGTTGGAGGCCTTGCCTATAGCCTGATTGAATAATTGGTGGCCAGCAATTAGAGAAGGTGCACTGGTGCTTACCCCAAAGCTTAGACAACAGCAAGCCAGGGTGCTGAATCAGGGCTATACTCAAGCATAGATAAGGCCATAGTGTCACCTTCTTATAGGGTGACCAGATGTCCCGATTTTATAGGGACAGTCCCAGTATTAGGGACTTTTTCTTATATAGGCGCCTATTACCCCCCAACCCCTGTCCCCATTTTTCACACTTGTTATCTGGTCACCCTACCTTCTTAATGCCAAACGCTACATGCAGCACAGATCCTGGCCAGTCCTTAGTGTTGTCCCATCCAAGTACTAACAAGACCCAACTGTTCTAGCTTCTGAGATTTTAGCCTTACCCAACCTCAAAACAAAAATCCCGCCTCAGAAAACTACTTTTAAAGTAATGTTAAGGATCTGACTTGAACCCACAAAGGCAAGTGAAAGTGAAAGCTTGTGCCAACAGTATTGTCTTAATTCTTGTGGTACTTGGGTATTGCTGCACACATGAGGGTAAATTCAGACCTACTGTAAGGGCTGCAATGCCATGGATTTCACTAAATACATTGAATTTGACCTATGGCTAGGAGATAGCTCAGTCTTCTCAGATCCTTGCAAAAACAAAGGACGATGATCACAGTTAATGGATAATGAATAGCCTGGGTTTTCAATCGTACATTTAGGCCTGGTCTACACTGGGGGGGATCGACCTAAGATACACAACTTCAGGTACAAGAATAGCGTAGCTGAAGTCGATGTATCTTAGGTGGACTTACCTCGTGTCCTCACGGTGTGGGGTCGACTGCCACCGCTCCCCCGTCAATGCTGCTTCCTCCTCTCAACGCGGTGGAGTACAGGAGTCGACGGCAGAGCGATTGGGGATTGATTTATCGCATCTACACTAGACGCGATAAATCAATCCCTGAATCACGTCTACACTAGACGCAATAAATCAATCCCTGATAGATCGATCACTACCTGCTGATCTGGTGGGTAGTGTAGATGTACCCTAAATTATAAAAACAATGAGGAGTCTGAAGAAGTGGGTTTTTTTTCCATGAAAGCTTATGCCCTAATAAATCTGTTAGTCTTTAAGGTGTCACCGTACTCCTTGTTGTTTTTGTGGATACAGACTAACATGGCTACCCCTCTGATACTTGGTACATTTAATTGTGATTTTCTTTGCTTCTGGAGAGAAGTGAACTTCTAAATATTACATTAAACCTCTTATTTTTCATTGAAGGGTGTAGGAATGGGAAAGGAGGCACAAAGGCCCAGATCTGCAAAGGTATTTAGGCACCTAATTTAGATGCCTAAATACCATTGAGTATCTGGGCCAAAAGATATTCATATGTAGTGTATATAAATGCATAGGTTCACCCAATCGAGAACAGCAAGTCTCCCAAAACCTGTCTTGGTTTGAAAGGATTTTGGTTTTGTTTTCTATTGTGAAAAATACCCATTCATCTCTGGGTTGTGATTCTCTGCATCAGACATCAGTTTGGAACATTTCATTTACAAGTACCTTGAGAATAGGGGTTTACAATGGAAACAATGACAGACCATTAATTATGGTTTTGTGAGCACAGCTGTTGTTGCCTTTCCCCCTCCCTTTCTTGTTAATACACTTTCTACATTCTAACAAATCACTTTCTAACCTGGCGAAGATGCCAGCCATTAACGTGGCAAAGAAAACTGGCAGAGATATTAAACACTGCCCGTTATTGTACTTTTCTGTGATCATTTGTCTTGCACCAGCCTACTGTGTAATCTTGAAGAAGATCTTGCTTTTCCCAGATGCCTGGAGTTTATCAGGCTTAAGCTTCTTGTCACAGTTTCTCCTGCGTTTCACATTACAAATTCTGTTTTGCACAATCTGATTTCTAAATGGAGAGACACCTCTGCAAACAGTGTATTTGCACAGGCATCAAAAATTTGCAGAATAAAAGGGAATACAAAGAAGATCTGTTTGATGTAAGACCCCCATGAGCAGATTCAGAGATTATTTACTTGTTTGGCTTGCCCTGCTGGTTTATTATTAAGTGTAGCATTTGCTTTGATCCCAGTTTGACTTCTTCAGGCCACTTAAATTTCAGTTTGACTCCTTGAATCAACTTGAACACCCTTCTGTATTTTATAAATAAACGTAAGCTAGTTGCCGCACCAGAAATGACATCCACACTGCAAATATTTGGCAGGTGTTAAGTTTGGAAAAAGAATCCTAGGAACTGTGCTGAAACTTGTAACCCAAGAGCTGAAGATGAGCCAGTAATGTAGAGTAGGTCTTGGACCATCAGATGATTGGTGTAATTGACAGAGTGCATCCTGTATTACCAATTTTTTCAGTGTGTCATTAGCACTAAGTGTCTGCGCTACGTGACAGTTACTTTCCCAGTTCTGATTTCCTGGGTGGTGGACTGGTCCCTCTAAAGATATGGGGAGTTGAAATGATTTACTAGACAGACATTCCACATCAAGAAGTCAAAGACCAACTGGAACAGGACAAAAAGCAATCTTCTAATGTGGATAACAAATCAGACTAAAGAGGTCTTGCACACATCTAAGCATGAAGAAGGACTCCCTGTATCTTGTGCACTGCCTTCTCCTTACCCCTATCTTCCTCAGCTCTGTTAAGGTTATGCTATCTCACTTTTACATAAGAACATAAGAATAGCCCAACGGCTATCCAGCTCAGTATCCTATTTAAGAGTTAAAGTGTTAATGGGCAACTTTCAATATACCATATCTAAGGCCAGGCCAGACTTTATACAGTACATTATTTTTAATCTCCATTCGCCCCCAGCTCCCTAAAACCTTTGATAAAAGGCAATGGTACAAACCAGCTAGGTTTCTCAGGTAAAAATATACCTGCTGCCAGATATTCTGCCTTCAGAGGCAATGCTACCACTGTTAGGGCTTGTCTTCACTACCCGCCTGGATTGGCGGGTAGAAATCGATCTCTCGGGGATTGAATTATCGCGTCTCGTCGGGATGCGACAATCGATCCCCGAATCGACGCGCGTACTCCACCAGCGCAGGTAGGAGTAAGCGCCGTCGACAGGGGAGCCGCGACGGTCGATTTGCTGCCCTCCTCACAGCGGGGTAAGTTGGCTCGGATACGTCGAATTCAGCTATGCTATTTACGTAGCTGAATTTGCGTATCTTAAATCGATCCCTTTCCCCGCCCCCCCCCCATAGTGTAGACCTAGCCTTAGTCAGCTATCTGAATAGGCTGGGAGGATCCCAATGCCCAGGAAGAGTTTTACCCTGGAAGGCAGAGGAATACCATCTTGTTTGTCTACCTGCCAAACTTCACTCATCCTTGGGAATAAGATCATCGGCGCTTATCATTTTTATTTTTAAAAGCTTGTGTTATTCCCTCGATCTTAAATATCCCATCATTGAGACCCTGCAGACGCACAACTGTAAGAATGACCTAGTCATGTCTGAATGAAGGAGGGTAGACACAGACTTCTCTCAAGAAGCACAATAACATAACCTGTGGCCAGTTAACAATAATTTGTGTTGTCAATCTTACTGGTCTTGGTGGACTTTTTGGGCCTGAGTTTTATTGGGACTTCAACAGTGCTTCCCCTTGTGCACCTCCATGCCCCCCCATATACACACTTTTTCAGCCTTCACACATGGAAGTGATGTATTTTACACATGCAGAGTCTAGCATCCACGTGGCCCCAAAGTGTGTGCAAATGCTAGTTGCACGTGCAATACGTGATTCTGAAAATAAAGCCCTTTTCCTTAGGAGCCAGTCAGCTAGGAAACTTGTCGCCTACGGGACATTTATATTTGCCACTCAGTGCTCAAGCATTAACAGTCATACAAAAAGGCCACAGTGCTTGGAGAAGAGGCTATTATCCCGTGATTGAAGGAATCCACACTGTTTTGCGGTACAGTTAATACTTATTTAATTTTTTGTTTCTGAAACTAAATGCCCTTTTCAATCTGGGAAACGGATGTGGTTATCTTCATCACTAGTGTGTGGTAAAGCTGACACCACACTGATATAATTGGCCTCCCTGATACATTAGCCGCTTCATGCTGAACGACATGTGCCCCTTCCCTGTCCTGCCGGACATACAGTTGAGCCTGACATTTCAGTTCATCTGAATTAACATTCTGTGCAAATCACATGCTTACTTGAGCAGCAGTAAAAGGGGTTAAGCAAATCTAGCTTTATCTCAGGAGACTTACATCTTGCTATCATGTGCTTTAGATCTTATTTCTTCAGATTTTCTTTTAAAGTTCTGAATTTTAAAGTCTTACAAATGCAGTAATGCGAAAGGGGTGAGAATTATGGGACAGCTCCCATTAAACAAGAGCTCTGATTGTCTGATGCTGACCAAATGTTTATAAATGGCTGGTAATCAGCAGACCTTGTTCATCCAAATCCAAGAAAGCCTGTCACATGTTCCTGGCATGTAACCCTGAGGAAAGCAAAACAAAACTAAACAAAATCCGACTTAGTCTTATGTGCCCTTGGAGGCAAATAAGATTTACGAAATTGCTTCTTTCATAGTATTCCCTTTAGTGAATTGCTTGTACACCTGATTATAGTACTAGTTGTTATTGCTCAGTCTATGTTAAAAAGCACTTCCTCTCTCTTAGTATGAAAGGTCCTGACTGCATTCATGTGATTAATTGACATGGGATACTCTTCAAGGATTGCCTAACTCCACTCATTCTATTTTTGCGCACATTCTGGAACCACTTACAACTCCTGTTTTTACATTCTCCGTGTTATTAGTCCACACTGGCTCTATGAAAAAAAGCCCAAGAATCCATGTTTGATATTTGTCCCACTGAATATATATATATATGTCAGAACACATCATGCAGGCTTGGTAACGGAGGGAGTAATGGAGGTTTGTCCATATCACCAAAGCTGTTGTGCAATACAGTTCTTACTACACCTAGGAATGAAATTATAAAGATGTTACAGATGCAGACTGATGTGCTTCTGCTACAGAAATATGTTGGTTTTGGTTGCCTGACATAACCTAATGCAGACACTGTAGTGGTGTGTGCTGAACTGGCTCCTTGAGGTATTCATCCTTGCAGGGGAGGATGGCTGAAGACAGCAAGGGAGCACATCAAACAGTGCACTTTACTAGTCCTATATAAAAGAGAAACCTACCTGGCTCCTAGCAGATGCTGTTCTCTTCCATAGAATGTGAGCCCAGAATCTTGGGTCACATTCTAGGTAAGGTGGCCATCTGCTTTTGAATCTATAAGAGAAAAACAAAGACGTGGTTCATGAAACATGCCACATACAGTCTTAGCCACATACATTCACAGATCTCCAGTTTCCAAAAGGAAAAAGGCTATTCAGTGTTTTCTTACCCCAAGCCATGTTGGCTGCTTATTAGCATGTTCTTCCATACTGCCTTTCAGCTTAGAAAGTTGGGCTTTATTAAAAAAAACCCATGGGAGCTTGAAACTGAACTTTGGTCTCCTTGCAAATTCTTCATTTTCTTCTCCCACATACACACGCCGGGCCTGATCCTGCTGCTGCTGATTCCAGTGAGTAAGGACTCACTCATATGAGCAAGGACTGCAGAATTATACAATTGTTTGTTATCATAGGGTTCCTCCTAATTACTGAGTAGCTACACTGTTTGGGGAGCGTCTGTTCTATTGAGTTCCATTGGTCTTTTTCCACAGCACCCAATACACTCAAAAAATGTTTAGAAAATGTAAAGCATTTAGTTCTGAGAACACACACACACACACACACACACACACACACACTCAAATTATCGTAACAAATTTGCAAGCTAATATTAAAAAAAGGCAACCATTTTGGGCCTTCTAAATGGTCAGTTTCTCTTTATTATCAAAAATGTATAGCACTTTTAGGTCACTGGTTTTATTTATTGTTATTGTTTTTTCCATTGGGAACAAAAAAGCTTGATAGACACGGGTGGGGGTGGGGGTGAAGCCTAGTGCATCAGATTGCTATGACCTTGCAGGGTTTGGTAAATGTTTTTATCTTGACAAAAATCTGTTACCTAAACTTGTTTACCTCATCTGCGTGTGCAGACACATTGACCTGGTGTGCCCCTTGCACTCCTGATAGTGGGTAAAGGATGGCTGCTGACTTTCATCGTTGAGCAAAAAACAAAACTCAGCGGCATTCTTTCATTGAACAAATTAGACTGTGGACAATGTCCTGCAGTTCCAATACAGTCAAAACTTTCATTGACTACAGCGAAAAGTCTTGCGTGACGAGGAGTTCAGGATTTGTCCCAGTGATTTCAGCAGAGTTTTGCCTAAGTAAGGAATTAGTAGGATTTGGTCCTTTATTGCAGGCAATGAGGAAAGGTGTGACACAGCCTGTTCATGTTAGAGAAAGTGACGAACATGCCATTTGGAGCGTACATTGCCAGAGAAAGGAAAGGAAGTAGTTTTATTTCAATATTTGTTCTTATGGAAATTGACAAAAGAAAGAAGTTAATAAAAAGTTGTTTTTATGAACCTAGCTATTCTGATGCTCATGTTTTTGCCTCCCCAGTAGAAATCTGTGTTTATTTTCTAAGTTGAATAACTAAATAAAGTTTACCAAATATCTTTGGTCAACTAAACAAGGACCTACTTGTGATGACATTGACTACCTTTGGCACTCATCAGTAATGGTTGCATGCACTGAGCCAAGATAAATGGAAAGGGTAACAGAAATTGTAACAAATCCAGGCTCTGCACTGCAAACCAAACTCCTTAATGTGTTAACTTGACACACTGTTCTCTCTGATCCCTATAATGATAGTCACGGTAACAGACTGAAAAGGAAACACTGATGTATTGTGGCCTTTTTGAATAAGTGTGTTTCAGACATTATGGGTGATATTGACATACAAGTACACTGTGGCTTCAAGGCTGTTTTGATAGAGATGCCAGTAGAGCAGTGATTCTCACAGCCGGTTCACCGCTTGTTCAGGGAAAGCCTCTCGCGGGCCGGGCCGGTTTGTTTACCTGCCGCATCTGCAGGTTCGGCCAATCGTGGGGGCTGCAGGAAGCGGCGCGGGCCGAGAGATGTGCTGGCCACCGCTTCCTGCAGCCCCCCGTTGGCCTGGAGCGGCAAACCGCGGCCAGTGGGAGCCGCGATCGGCCGAACCTCTGGACGCAGCAGGTAAACAAGCCGGCCCAGCCCGCCAGGGGCTTTCCCTGAACAAGCGGCGGACCGGCTTTGAGAACCACTGCAGTAGAGGTCTGGCTTCCATCTCCATGAAGAACAATTATAGCAAATAACTTCAACATACTTATATGATCATTAGCTTCCAAAAGGAGCCTTGGTCAAGATGCTGTATAGTATGTTGGTCAGAAGAATCCTACAGACAGCAGACATACCTAGGCTTAATCCTGCAAACTTTTACTCATATGAGTAATGCTGAGTTAGGCAAGTACATGTTCATAAGATTGCAATTTTAAAGTGCAGCCAGTCCAGTCATTGCCATAAGTAATGTGTCTAAACTTGCAGAGCTTATAAGAAAACTCCTGACTAACTGCTTTGTTGCATCTTTGTCTTGCTTCTTTTCCGTTCACGCATTAAGGCGCAACGTACTGAGCTTGTCTACGGGGATTGAAGATGTTGGTGTTGTCAAGTGGGATCTGGCACTGTGTCTTCTCTTTGTCTGGGTGATATGTTTCTTCTGCATTTGGAAAGGCGTCAAGTCTACTGGGAAAGTAAGTGCTCTCTCTGCCCCTTTACAATCACTCCCTTAGAAAAGTCAGCAGTACCGTCAATAATAGGCTGTGTCTTTTGTCAATAAATAGTGACAGCTTCCATGCGAAAAATGTATTTTCACACTGAGTAAATGATGGACTTGACTGGTGTTGGAGGGCAGTGGCCAGTGCCATAGTACAGAATCCCTCTGAACCAAGCGGATGTGAATGGAATGGCATCATGAATCATACAAAGACGACTCAGGAAGCCTTTTAAATAGCGCCATTAAAGACAATGGAACCTAGCCAGTGCTACCTGTACTGGTGAGGGTGCCTCAGGCTTTACTGAGTGGTACACTACTTGCTTCTTCCCACATAATAATAATAGTTACACCACGGTGTGCTTCTATGACATGTCACCCACAGAGCCACCTTCAATTCTGCTGCAGTGCCACTGGAATCAGTGGCTCCACAGTGGGGATAAACTGAAGTCACTGGGAACTTTTGGAAAATCTGCCCACTTATTTAGATGCCCCAGGACAGATTTAGGAGCCTAACTTTAAGCACTCATTTATTTAATGAAAACGCTCGTCCTAAAACAGCAGCCCCGTCTTCTTTGCCAGGGTCATTGTCCAAGGGCTACTCTGACACTCAGATCTATTCACTGTTTATTCAGTCATTTCTAGTGTGCCTCTCACTGCAGGGCCTACCTTCCTCTCTGAAGTTTTCTATTAGGCGTATTGAGCTCAGGGCTAAGTTCAACAACCTTGATATCTACACTCTATATTTTAGATGCCTGCTGAAGGCCACAGTAGTTAAACATTCACAGACTCCAGACCCTTGGGTGCTCCGAGGTTTTTGTTGAATGGGACCCATCTGTGGTTCCTCCCCCCTCCACGCCCTTACCACTGCACTCTCCAAAACCACGCCATTCCATATGGTAATAATTAGACAGCATCTGAACCTCATTCCATTCCAGTAGCGTGCAAGGAACAAAGTACAGAAGTTTCCACACTGTCAATTAACGAGGCGATGCCTGGTATCTATTGCCTCTTTAAATATATGGTAGTGGTTCTGTACCATCATTTCTCTCTCCCTTTGACTTTATCGTAGGGCCTCATTAAAAACATGGTGCCTTATTCTTCTGGTCTCCTGCCAGTTTTAGGTCCAAAGAGCAGTTTCCACACCTCTAAATCTGTGCTGACCGAAGATGGTTGTATTCCCTATTGTCACTGGTTGGCATGACCTGTTGAGTTGGGTTGTCAAGGGTCATAATGAAAGCGAGCATAGAATCTCCCCAGCAATAGTCTAGAATGGAAACAAACACTTCCTGAGTACCTTTTGCGATCGTGATGGCTGTTTGATTCACACCACAGTTCAGACAGCACCAAAAGATTTTCCAAGCTGCTTAGTGTGTACAAAAAACAAACCCTTGCTATAGTGCACCAGCATAATCAAAATCAGCGAGAGTGTATGCTAGTCTGAGACGGTCAAAGGGCTGCAGTGACTTGAAAAAGTCAGAGGTTTGCTGGGAACTTCCACAGGTTTTTCAATGCATAACTCAGCAGCTGAATATCTATTTGGTGGGTATGTTTTCTTGTGCATCCCAAATTCCCATAGACCTGAGATGGAGTCTGCAGTGCACAACAAATGCAAGACTGGGACTCTGAAATGTTCCCTCTGGCCTTGTATTTCTGTGCCAGGGAATTAACGCTGAACCTTTTGAAGTTAAAAAAGCAAAAAGGAACGGTTAAAAAATATCAAATAACCAACAGGTTTTTCTGGAAATTAGGGGTATCTCAGACCTTAATCAGAATTTACTGTCTGTCCCTCCATTGTGGTTTGAGGACACAGGGCCTGGTCAAAAGTCCATTGAAGGCTATGGAAAGACTCCCATTGAAGTCAGTGGAAAGATTCCCATTGGCTTTGGATCAGGCCAAAGCAAACTGAAGAACTCTAATGTCGGCCTGGAGTAATTGGATGAGTGATTAGCCCATAGTTTAATTTTATAGATAATTTTTTACATACTTAACTGCTTTCCAATGTACAAATAACTTCCTGAAGGGGAAAAAATTATCTTTTTTAAAAATCTTGTTGCAATATATTGAACAAAAGAAACAGTCACGAAAAATAATAGCCCAGTGTTTTGGGGACATTTTGTATAGAGTGCTGGAGCCTAAAAATTCCTTCAGTCATGTAGGGGATTTCCTGCCCCGCAAGGGGGAAGTCCATTGTGTAGCAGTGAGTTCCTGTGAATGCAGACACAGCCTTGTTATTAGAGAGCAGGGATTTTTATGGGTCAAGATTATATAAAAAGGGATCATACAGGACAAAAAGTAAGTAACTTTTGGAAAGTTTTTAGATGAAACTAGGCTAATGTATAATCCATATTATTTATCAATGAAAAATATTACTGAGTTCCAAGAGGAAAAGGAAGAAAACCATATGCATGAAAAGGTTTTCTTTGAATTTTATCAGTCTGGCTACCTGAGTTATTATATCAGTGCCGGCTTTGATTTCTCCTGGTTACTCTCCTAGGACACACTTAAAAGACAAGTGGATGCATCTCAGGAGCTTTTCCCTGATTAAACTAAATTTTGAAAAACAAAAATGTATTTTAAATAACGCAGCAGAGCTGTAATTACTTTGCAGAAACATCTGACTCCATTTAAAAAAAGGAAGAAACCAATCCTTTTTGGAAGGCAGAGATTGCCTGCAATAGAGTGTTAGTGCTTGTCTGCCCAGGGAAATTGATCAGCATAGCTATTCTGAAATAACTCTTCTGTACTAGCTATTCCTGAATAGCTCCCTGTGTGGACACATTATTTTAGCATAAAAGTGATTTTATTCGGGAATAATTACTCCATTCACAAAGCAGAGTAATTATGGAATAAAGTCCCTTTTATTTTAGAACCGGGCAGAGAGGGGGTTATTATGGAAAAGCTATGCCAGTCAGCTTCCCCCCTCTAGGCAAGCCCTCGGCCTCATGTTCTGAAGATAGTGCCCACAAGGTTTGGGTGATTCAGTCTTTAGTTCTCAATGATTGTATCACACTCTGTCTCTCCAGGATTCTGCTGGTTATTGCTCTGAGCTGGAGATGTTTATAGCTGCAAATGGGCAAGGAAGGCATAGGCATCTCTTGGAGAAGGGGAGTCTCTTATTGAGGTTTTTTTTTTAAATCACCTTTGAAAAATTGTAAGTGGATGTAATGCTTGCAATGCGGAGTATAGTATCGGCTTGAGCCATACAAAGGTTCTGAGTGCTAACCAGTGCACCCCAGTGCGGAGCCTTCGCGGGGGATAATATACCTCAATCCCAGCCTGCAGCAACCCCTTCTGTTCTAGGCCAGCACCTCTCTTGAGCAGACACTGCCTTTCAGACCAAAATGAGGACTGGTTTGTTTCTCATAGGGTGAACCTGCCAAATCTCATTTGCACTGTGGCCTGGGTCACGGATGAAACTCAAGTCTCCAGCTCTTTCACTGACCCAATGCATTGCCAAAGCCTTCCAGCTGGAGTCCTTTTTATTTCTGAGAAGTGCCTTTAAAATCCACACAGATGGTAGCAGTGTGCTCAGACAGAACAAGCCTGCAAAGCCTTCAGTGCTCCTGGACTTCACTGGTCCCTGCATGTAACCTTGTGTATATCTAAGCTGCCTCCCTGTTAGCAAGGTACATGGCAACACCTGTATCATGAGAGAGACATGTATATTGGCCTGATAGATTAGCAGTAGCACAGTGCATAGCAGTATAGGAGATTCAACTCCAGGCATGGGGCCGACAGCTGGGACCCCAGAGCTGGGGAGGGGAGCGGCAGCCAGGACCCTGGACGCGGGGCCGGCAGCCAGGACCCTGCATAAAACCTGGGGGTGCTGCAGCACGCCCTGCATCCCTAGTTCCCGTGCCTGTGACACCTTTCATACATTCAGGCTCCCAGTAGATGGATGAATAGGTAGAAAATGCTTTAATTGCTCTCCAGAACCTGTCAGAGGCAATGGGTTAGGGGAGTGGTTGGAGCAGGTATCTGGGAAGTTCATTTCCTGGTTCTGCTCTGCTGACTGAGATACCTTGGGTAAGTCTCTTAGTCTCTCTGGGCCACGGCATGCATATCTGAAAAATAATTCTTACCTGCCTTACAAGATAGCTAAATTCACTGATTTTTGTTAAATACTTGGAGATCCTCCGCTGGAAGGTTCAAAAGAAGCTTGACATAACCCATTAGTGACCCTTTGCAGTGGAGGCTGTTACTCTTCACTGCCAAAGGTGAGCCTGTGATAAGAGAAGGTGGCAGGGGGCAAAGAGAAAATTGTGACTAGTGTGAACAGTCAGCAGAAAAGGCCTTTGCAGCTGTAGGCTGCTGGCCGGCAGGACTGCTCACCCAAATGTGTTCAGGCCCTTCCTTCAGGGCATAGCTTATTCTTCAGACAAATAACTCATTAACATCAAAACAAAGCTATTCCCCTGACCACAGCCTGCTTCCAGGGTTCAGAGGCCTTTCCCTTTGCCTCTCCAGGTCTTGCTCCAGGGCCCACCGTAGGAGCCACTTTGCTTCCTGCAGCTCCTTCCCTCAACAGTACTTTTTCAGCCCTTTTATAGGAATCACTTTACCCCTTCCCAGCTGGGTCGGACAAGCCCCTCTCCCAGGCACGAACAGCTCCTCTAAAGACAAGCACTGTCTCCAAACAGAGCAAGCCGCTTCAGGCCCTATGGTCCTTAAAGGGGCAGACCACTCTGTTCCAGCATCATCTTTGCCTGGAGATGCAGACAGCATCTCCTGGAGACAAATCAGACCAGACTGTTATCTTTGCATAGACTGAAGATTGCAGGAACTTAAGGCACCAGTTGAACGCTACAAGCCAAGAGGACAGTTGAGAGTGGAAGAGAGGATTAACTAAAAATGTGCTTAAACAACCAGAAACTCAAATCTGAGCCTCATGAAATGCCAGGCAGATTTGAATTCAGATCCCTGGACCTCCATCAGTTTTGGTTGTGGGTTGAAAGGACACCAGTTATATATTTTGTTTCTAAACTAATTGTCAAGGACTATACATATTGTCACTTTGTTTTGGCAGGTTGTGTACTTCACCGCTACATTCCCATTCGTCATGCTTATTGTGCTGTTAATCCGTGGTGTCACCCTGCCTGGAGCTGCAGAGGGCATCAAATTTTACCTTTACCCTGATGTATCACGGTTAGCAGATCCACAGGTATGGGACCACTAAGTAGGAGCAGGGAGACTTCCCATGCTCTGAAACAAGAGGGACATTTAGAGGTGGGTGGTGGTGCAACAACAGGAGATTTTTTTCCATGATCTTTATCAATCCAAATATAGCATGAACATTAAAACTGGGTTGTATTTTTCCATTGTATCTGGTTGAAAAGGTCATTGTTAAATGTGTTAATGCATCTTTCCATGTGTGTATTTTTGTGTCAAAGGGCTCTGAGGCTGTAGACTCTGTCCAGTTATAGAATCTCAGCTTTCTTGTTGGTATTAGGCTCTGGACAAGGTAAGGGAGATAAATTTTTTTTTAGGAGGATAGTTTTTAGTTTCGAAGGGAATCGAAAGAAAGGAGAGAAATATGAGCGTGGCAGATGGCACACCAAGGAGCAATTGTGAGTATCTGTTTCACTCTGCCACCACCTCTCAGGAGCAGGACATCGGGGAAAGAAGTGAACAGAGTAGTGGAAAAATGAAAACCATTGCAAACATGTGAGAAATCTGTTTTCTCATGCAAACACATGAGAGCATGCATCCGAAGAAGTGAGGTTTTTACTCACGAAAGCTTATGCCCAAATAAATCTGTTAGTCTTTAAGGTGCCACCAGACTCCTTGTTGTTTTTGCTTAGCACTGGGTAGGAGGAGTTGCATTTTTTTTTCTCTACAAGCTACAAGTGGAAAAGGAAAAGACTATTCATTTCCATGGTACTGGTGTAGCAATGTGTGAAAGTCTAACCACTAGCTCTTTGGCCAACAGTGATCACATGGGAAATGCAAAACTCTCTAACCAATAGCAAAAAACAAATCCAAATGAGAACAGTGATTTTTTTAAAGCGATGGCCGTAGGCATGATCGGGTGAAAATGCCTTTCTCTGTTGTTACTTTTCTAATGATTATCTAGTAAAAAGTCAAAATACCAAGGGGATTTGGGCCCTGTAAGTCAGCAGGTAAAGTGTCCTTGAAAGAAACTTAGCCAAATGTGGCAGTCTCTGTGATCTTGCCTTCATTACCCCAGCCATTCAGACATGCATCTACCTCCTTCCCTGGTAGCATGTAACTGTTATGAGTTATTAGCCGTAAGTTTCATGCCCTAAGATGTGATGACTGACAACACAGGAAAGATTCAGATTCTGTTTAACTCCCAGGCCCCCTCTTCCATGATGGCATAGTTCCCTCCAGAGTTAAGCTATCATGGACTCCCCATTGAAAAGGCTCATCTTCTTTCACCAGGAAATCCCTGTGGTATTTTCAGGTGGATGATGCTGACAATGGTAGGAGAGCTATGCTGCAAAGCTGCTGCTTCCCCCCCATTCAGACCTCCTGGATGATTCCCCCGTATTAGTAGAGAGAAGTACATGGCCGTGAATGGTCAGGAATAGATGGAGGGGTTACCACAAATGTATGAAGCCGGAGTTTCTCACTGTAATGATACTATATATTGCATGTTATTGTACTAATACCATCAGGATGATGCGTCATGAACTGAGGTTAGTAACGGTGTTATTGATGTTAAAGAAATGCATTGTGTTATGCTTGTGTCCCCTCTGCACCTGCAGTGTTTGTCCTTGTGCCACCGGTGGTTGAAAGGTATGGTTGGGGCAATAGCATGGGGCCATTTGGAAAAGTGTCAGTCAAGGTGTTCGTGTTTGCAGTCCAGTGGCTCTGGAGGCTGGTTCTAACTGAACCGCATTGTATACAGGACTTTCCAGCTGCCTCTGCGTTGTCCATTTTCTTGGGAAAGCATTGATTGTTATGCAGTAAGGAAAGGATCAGTTGAATGGCAGACAAAGTAGAATGATAGACCACCTTTCAGGCAGGGATGTTTGAATTGCTGACAGAGCTGTGAAGTTTTCAAGTGGACTCTGATGCTAATGATGTTTTTTCCCCTACAATGTGGTCATTTTAAAATGAGATGCTCTCTTTCTTCTCCTCCTTTGCCCCAATATCTGTCTCAGTGGAAGCAATTTTTGTTGTTGCAAAGCCTGAATAACAGACTGACTGTGGTGCACGTTGCTATAGGGATTGCCTACATTAATGATGCTTTCTTCCATCTTTTCTTTTAGGTCTGGATAGATGCCGGGACACAAATCTTCTTCTCGTATGCAATCTGCTTAGGAGCAATGACATCCCTGGGAAGCTACAACAAGTATAAATACAACTGTTACAGGCAAGTTTCTAACCAAGGGGGTTTAGTGTCTTAGCTAAATGATGTAAATAAGTAGGGACAATGGGTTCAAATTTTTTTTTGAATTAACTTGCTCCATGACATATGTGTGACTTAGGGACTGTTTGCTGCTGGGATGCCTGAACAGTGGTACCAGTTTTGTGTCTGGCTTCGCAATTTTTTCCGTCCTGGGCTTCATGGCACAAGAGCAAGGGGTGAACATTGCTGATGTGGCAGAGTCAGGTACGATGGTATTGGTGGCAGTGGTGGTGGGCACTGCCACCTAGTGTGTGAGCAAAGTACTGCGGACTAAATCAGCCAAACAAAATAAAATAAAATAAAAAGAAAGAAAAAAAAAAAAGAATTCCCACGAGCATCAGAAAAATGATTAAATGCGCATGTTAGTCTGGTTTTCTTTTAGAACAGCAGTGGGTAGCTAATTAACATAGGACTTACTTTATCTTGATTAGCGTGGCAGTTTGAACACATTTTTCCAAAGTGCGTTAATAAGTTTAGCTCAGATTATTTAAAAGGACCACACACATTGTTGTCTCAAGTCCAGACACGTCAATCCGTTTTGGAAATCTACACCAACCCTCTTGTTACTGTAGGTATGATTGCCCGCGGGTGAGAGATGCCGTAGGAATAAAGTCAGGCACTTCCAATGGGACATATGGGAACTGGACGCCCAAATCCCATTGAAAGGCAAAGGAAGTTGGACACCTAAACCCCATAGGCTTCTTTGGAAAATCCCTTCCACCATGACACCAACTCTTGCAACTCTATACATTTGAATCTAGCTCCAAGGTGAAGCTGATACTCTTTGTGCAATGTCCATTCTTAAACTGTTTACAGGGACATATTTTCCCCTTGTTTTGCATGAAATTATTCCCATTACCCTTCAGCTATACACATGTATCAGAGAGAGGGTACATCCAGCTTGTGAATATACACTGAACAAGGTAGACTACATCTTTCCCCTGGACATACTTCATAGGACTTGTGGGCAGGAGTGGTACTTTTAGGCTGTCATAATGATGGTGAACAATTATACCAGGCTAGATCAGTATTGCCAACCCGAAGTGTTCAAAAATCATAGTCAAGCCCCCAAAATCACGAGATTGGCTTAAAAATCATGAGATTTAAAAGAGTAATAGCACATTTTGGGTGCTTTTTCTTTTCCTTCTGATTTTTTCAGCCTTTAGGGTTCACTTTTTCACTGTAGGGTCACGTTTTTCAGCTATTTTTTGGTCACCAAGACGACTAGAAACTTACTTTTTTATTTAGTTTTTTAAATAAAAGCTGAGATTCTCTTGTAATTACATTGACTCCTGGAGCTGGATCTTTAAGGCTCACAAAGACTCATTATGAAATGACGGATGTTGGGAACACTGCTAGAGTCTCAGTTGGTGTAAATCAGCATAGCTCTATTGAAATCAATGGAGCAAATGCCATTTTACATCAGCTGAGGATCTGGCCCATAAAGATCATTTTGATTAGATGCTTTACTTGCATACAGGAACAAACTAAGGGAATAATCCTGGTGAATACACCCTAACCAGCTCAGCACTTATTTCAGATGAGTTCTAAGAAATTGTGTGTATTTGGCATTTTTTCTATTCAGATTCAAAATTTACTGTAATTGACCCAAAATAAAAGAACATAATCCATTGCTAAATGGGCACCTTTGTCCCTAATAATTGATATTTTGAAAGTGGCACCACTGATCAGTTTTTGACACTAGACTTCAATCCTTTATTTTGGTGACCATTTTAGTTTGTTTGATTTCAACCCACGGTGGTGGTGGCCCCAAGTTGTAGCCATCTGATGGCTATTCAGTGGATTACACAGTATATACATGTGGGGGTTTTAGGCTAATTTCTAATGGACAGGTATACAAATCACAATAAACCGCCATCAACACTGGTACCGGTTGGTATACTTGTTGCCATTCTCAGCCAAGAGGCCAAGAATTGAATAAACCTGGGAGCGTGCTCTACCCCTCTCATTCCTAAGAGGTGGTTCCTTCAGTTCATGGTAGCGGCACATTGGCAGGAGTTGTGGGGGAAACTTGTACTGCTGCTGCCTGTACTCTACCTGTTCTGTGTCAAAGAGGAGACTTCATTTTCTAGTGCGGGCAACCTGAAACCATTTACCAGCAAAGAGAAATTGAAATAGATTTGTGTTTTTTCCCCAGATATATTTCCACCCCCATCTTTTTTTTTAACCCTTATTTTGCCAGTATGCAAATCCAGGATTATTCTTCCAGGTAGAAAAAAGAGAGAGGGAGCAATGAGCGTCTGCAATTTGATTTTGCGGCTTGGCAGAGGAACTTGTTTATTGGGCAACTAGATGATTCCTCCATTCTGTATCCTCCCACTTGCCTTACTCACACCTGTGGTTCCATTGACTTCAGTGGATTATTCTTGTGATTTGGGCACAATCTAGTTCACTCACAGCAGAACTCCAGCAGCACTCTGTTGCTTAATTACACCCCTGCCAAATTCACCCCTTATGTAAAGGTCTTGAGCTGAATTCTCCCTTGGTAGGATATGAGTAGTGAAGATCTGAAGACAATGGGAGTTACTCCTATCTTTCATTGGGCAAAGTGGACTCATTGATTTCAGTGGAGTTACACAAGGGTTGAATTTGGTCTGTCTCCGTCCCACATCCCTCACCCCAGATTGGCAAACTGCCTGATTTTTTTAAAGTTCATTTTTCTCCTTTATTTTTCCCAGTACATTACATAAAATAAAAGGCCAAAAGCATTGTTGCTTTTTTTTTACCCTAAGAAATGCAATGTGGGAACAAAGGAAGCACAGTGAGGCCTGGCTAATCTGTGCTGGATTTGTCTGCGTGCCTGGCTGGATGAAAGATATATTGCATGTACAGTATGTACTAGTGATAAAGCCATTGCAAGACTTCCTTTGTTTTAACGCCGTTTGCAAACTGATTCAGATTAACCAGGTCTGACTATCGTGTCTGTCAGCTGATGGGGAAGGTTTGGCCTCCATATTTTGTATTGTTTCAATCTACCAGCCACAGTTCCTTCTGCTGACTGGATACAATTCCAGCCATAATATTTCATTTAATCAGCAAGTGGCCAATAAATAGACTATGGTTATTACTGTTCTAATAAGCTTTTAACAACAACCACAAGCACAGTGCATTTTAACAGGATAATTATTCAGTGGAACGGCGCTCCATATTAAATGCAGTTTTCAGTTATTTACATTAAACTGAAAGGATGCCAGAAATGTTATGGTATTTTACATGGACTTTTCTCTTTATAGTTCAACATTTGCATTCACAGAAAAATACACACAGACCATAGAGCACTTGTCATCAGAAATTAACATACACAAACACACACTTTCAGCCCTGGTCTACACTAGGGCGGGGAGGGGGGAATCGATCTAAGTTACGCAACTTCAGGTACGTGAATAATGTAGCTGAAGTCAACGTACTTAGGTTGACTTACCGTGGTGTCTTCACCACGGTGAATTGACTACTGCTGCTCCCCCGTTGACTCTGCTTGTGCCTCTTGTGGCGCAGAAGTACAGGAATCAACGGGAGAGGGCTCGGGGGTCGATTTATCGCGTCTACACTAGACGCGATAAATCGATCCCCGCTGGATCGATCGCTGCCCGCCGATCTGGCGGGTAGTGTAGACATACCCTTAGTGAGTTTTAGCGAGAAATAGCAGTTTTACATCTGTCTCATCATTTGCGCAGACTGGCTACAAATGCAATCTAATGGCAGTTATAGCTGGGAATTCAGTTTTTAACTGAGAGAAGACATGATGTCCAGGGATTGAGGGAAAAGCAGAACCCCAGAAATTTTAGCTACTCAGCCAATTTTGTGTGTGCGCGCTTTCTGTCACATAAAGCCACAGACATGTTTCTTTTTAAAAATTAATGAAATAAAATTAATCAATCAATTGCTGGCTAATTTGTATTTATTTCTATTTAAATTATTTCAATTTTTCTTTTAATTTAAAAATGTCATCCTCCTGCTCTCATCTTTTCTTTTCCTTGCTCCTTTCTCCATCGTTCTTGTTGGAAAGGAAAAGTGGGAGTTAGGAAGAGCATCAGTAGCGATTCTCCATGCAGATTAAACAAGAGAATTCTGCTCCTGTGATTTACCGGACTTTATCTTCCCTACTGAAAAACAAGTTTAATTTGAATCTTCTCACCAAACCTGGAAGATGTCAACACTCCAATCCACCTTCTTTTGAAACCAAAAAAAAAGTCCAGATTTTAATGTGCATGTAAATCTGTCCTTGCAAGATTTCCCCACTCTGTAAAAATTACAAGATCACTTTTAAACCAGTAGCGGATGTCAGATTCCTACTGCCCCTGTTGCCCAATCAGAGATGGCATACTCACTTTACAAAAGTTCTCATGATGTATAACTAAGTGTTATTTGAAACCTGTGTGACACCAGGTGAGAACTTCTGTGAAAAACAACATAGAAGTGCAGTGCGCCGATGCTCTGTGTGTGGGTGGGTGTGATTGAGCCAGCCCTTTATTAGCTGAGCCGTAGCGCAGATAAGGCACATTCTGTTACTACTAGCTATGGGGGAGCTCCTTTAGCTTAAGTTTTAGAAGCCTGTGATTTTGGAGCAGAAGGACCAAGGTTTTAGTCCCTGGTCTGTGGGTGTGTACAGCATGTGTAATTGGTCTAGTAGTTGTGCACGATTGTTGGCAGGACCCAGATTTGTTACGGCACGACTTAGGAAGCCTAGTGGTATGGGAGAATCTGACTAAGGTGGCGTGTTAGTAGTATAATTTCCAAACAGCAGGGAACACTTTTGAGAACTCATAGGCCCAAATCCACAGCTGTTGTAAATAGGGGCAGCTCTATTGATTTCAGTGGTGGTTTACAGCAGTTAAGGACCTTGGCTATTGGAGCATAAACCAAAACCTGGAAGGAAGGTCTATGAGAGATTTGTGTTTTCAGAAGGCTAGGTTGAGTTGGCTGCAGCATTGAAGCTTCAGGAGAATATTTGGAGCAGATTCCCTCTTGTCCCCCCCTCCACTCAAATAGCGATCATGTGTGCTAGAAACAGGATTCCTTTATTCTACTGGGGCAGTTGCCTTCATTCCTGTTACACCTCCTGAATGGCTGGTGCAGGAAGCGATCCATTACTGGCATGTTTGAGACAGATGTTAAAACTGGTGGTCGGTTAGCGATGGCCTTTGGGTTTTCTTGGGGTTTCTGCTGTAGTCATGCGTGCTTCTTTGTCAGATGAAAGCTCCAAACAATTTCACTTCTGGTATTTCCAGCTGGGTTTGGGTTTATCTGAAAGGAACCAGGCATCCCTGCATTGGTGGGTAGCTATCTCTAGGCATGAGCTGAGTACTTACTATCTCCATTCCCTTTCCCCCCCCCTTCCTGTTTTCTCTTTCTCCTCCTCTAGGTCCAGGCCTGGCCTTCATTGCCTACCCAAAAGCTGTGACCATGATGCCGGCGCCTACTGTTTGGGCTATCCTATTCTTTGTTATGCTTCTGTTGATTGGACTGGATAGCCAGGTTAGTAACCACGGAAATGGACTTATTTGTCGCCATGATGCCAGCAATGGCAACCCCATTATAAATGGGTGGATTAAAAATAATAGTAAAATACCAATAAGTCTGCTTAAATGAAGTTGCCTCTGCTGCAGAATCCATGGAGAAGCTGCTTTAGTCCATACATAGAGACAATGAATAAGTTAGTGGTGGCAGGGTCAGCATGATCTTGTGCATTAAGGTTTTGCTATCGGGACCCGAGGGAGTCCAAGGGATAGAGCAATGCACCATGGCCCAAATGCTGCCCCACAACACACCACCATTTGTGGTTGGTGTGCAGCATTATCTGAGTCTGGTGAAGGAGAGATACTCATCACAAAAGGAAGGAACACCTGGGGTCTGTGTCTGCACGGTGCTGGGTGCCATTGAAATCAATTGGCACTGAGGTTTCTGACCACGGTAGGGCTTGTGGACTACGTGGGAGTGAATTGCAGAGCGCACCAAAATGTTGCGCTGTAACTGCTCCTTGTCGACCCTGCTCGTGTGAACTACAAGGTGCCTAGTTTGTTGTAGTGTAGTGCTGTTCAAAGAGGAGTTTTTTTCACAGAAATATCAGCATAAATACCACAAAGGAATCTGTTAATCATTTCTAGATAGTCACAAGTAAACAGAGGCAACCAAGGATTATGCAGTAACTGTAAACTGAGATTGCCCGAGGTTTCAGAGCGACAGGCAACTTTTTATACTCCAGTGGTAAAGTAACTCTAACGTTCTAAAAATTCACTCGACAAAGGCAACATGTTTATTGAACTCAAATCCTCTCTTATATGAGGAGAGATTCATAAGTGGCGTTTTCCCCAGTGGTTACCCGCTTAATCTCTCCAATTTGTAAAGTGTGGCATTTGTTCTAAATCGCTCTTTACTGCTTACTCTTTGAACTCTGCTAAGTGACTTTCAGTCCCTTCCAAATTGAATGTTACAATGCCCAGGGCTGCGGTTCTACAACCAAGTGCTTATACAAATTTTAAGCTGTCTAGTAATTTTAAATAGCTCCTCGCTGTGTAGAATAATTGAAACTAATTGGAGCGCTTAATTTCCTCTTCCTCCACTCCCCCTTTTTGGAGTGCACTCAAGCAGGGTTTTGGAATGCCAGAGCATCTTAAGATCAAATCCAACCAATGGGAAGTGTTACATGTAAAAAGAAAAACAGTTTTACATAAGACTTTAAAATAGGAGTTCAAGCAAGCATTCAGTATTAAACACTGGAACCTAGACGGTCCATTAATATAGCTGCTATCCCTTATCAGTGAAGGGCACAGAGTACAATGTGTTTAAAGGAAGTTTCTGGACATAGTAAGTATATTAATGTAAAGGCTAGGATGATTTATATACGCCAGAATATTGCTACTTCATGAACTCGCTGCAATATGTCACTGACTGTGGGATGAACCATTTACTTATTGACAACTTAATGGGGCCAAACTGCCCTCAGTTACATCAATGCAGCTCAATGAAGTCACCCGTGTAAGGGGCCTGATGCAAAGCTCAATGAAGTCAATGGAAGGGCCCCCCCTGTCTTCAGTGGGCTTTGGATTGTGCCAGATATGAGAGCAGGACTTGGCTGTCTGATTTCTTTGTTTCTATTAGATTTGTTTGTGCACCATTAAATGGTCCCTTTTCCTATACATGAAGTTCTTCTGGCTGTCAATAAACTAGCGCCCTTTCCCCAAGGCTGGTTTTGTTTTATTTGGGCAGCTCTAATTATATTTGTCTTACATTCATTTTTCTGTTGCAAGGATGTACAGATAATTTTTTAAAAATAAAAACTGTTCTAAGATGCTGAATTAGACAAAGTAAGATAGCTGATCTGCTCCAGACTTCGGTTTATGTTGCAAGTGAGAATATTTTACCTACCCCCTGTAAAGTGTCTGTATCATTACAGCTATTAGAGAAGCACCTAAGGGTCTCAGTCACAAACCAGATGGCCCTATTATGCTAGGAGTTGTACAAACATATGTAAAGAATCATAGAATTGTAGGACTGGAAGGGCCTGCAAGAGGTCTTCTAGTCCAGTCTCCTGCACTCAAGGCAGGACTAAGTATTATGTTTGTACAGCGGCCAAGGTCAGCCCTGGGGCTGTTGACAGCTCACCAGCGGCCCACTGCCCGAGCGGCAGTCCCCTGCCTGCCAGAGCAGTGGCCAGGGTTGGGTCAGCCCCTGGGGCTGGAACGGCAGTGGTCAACTCCTACCGCATGAGCAGTGGCGGGGCTGGAGCAGATACAACTCTAGCAGTGGTCTGTTTGTCCACTCCCGCCCCAGGGTATTCTTAGTAAAAACGGACAGGTCGCGGGTTTCTGTGAATTTTTGTTTATTGACTGTGGCCTTTCCCTGACTTTTACTAAAAATACCCGTGACAGAATCTTAACCTTACCCATGTGCTTTTCCTGAATAATTGGTCTATTTACAGTGTGTAAAGTATCTGCAAGAATTTTTGCAGGAGTGGGGCCAAAGTTTATGACAAGATGCACTAGGTGGATGAAACAAACAAACGGGGGGGAAGTGGGGTTTTGTGTAGAGAAAAAAGTTTGCAGGGCTGTATTTCATTGAATGAATTTTCACCAGTATAACTGAAAACAGAATTTGGCCCTAATTCTGTACTTGAACTATGTGGTGCATATAAATTTCACCAGCACATCCAGTGAAGACAGAGATTGAGAGTTGCTGCTGCAGTTCAGGAGGTTTAGCTTTTCGAGTATTTTTCTCTGTCTCTTTTCTAACATCCACTTTTTGTTCATCTGAAACATCTACAACATAAAAGCCTCACGAGCATTTCCCTCTCATCACATTCATTTCCTTTATCCTTGTAGCTTATGTTTATAAGAAAACCAACTTAATGTCTTACAAGGATGCGAGGAAACTGACTTCAATTCTGAAAGCTTCTTCCAAACTAAAAAATGATACACACACTTTAACCTTGAGGCTGCAAGGAATAGGATTGTTATTTGATTATTCAAAGTACTATCTAGTTCCATAGAGTGTAAATACAGAGCTTCTAGGGGGTGTTTAATTAAGACAAAAGAGAATGAAATGTATACTGTGTATATTTCAATTTGTTTTTTTCCCCCTTTAGTTTGTTGAAGTTGAAGGACAGATCACGTCATTAGTTGATCTGTACCCATCCTTCCTAAGGAAGGGTTACCGACGGGAAATCTTCATTGCTATAGTGTGTTTCCTTAGCTATCTTCTGGGACTAACTATGGTGACTGAAGTAAGTAACACTGGTGATGGAGAGCTTTATTTTACTTTACTTATTTATTTTACAATCAGCATGTATCCTCATTGACATTGTGAATCAGATGGCATAAAGCAAACCACTTGGAAGAACACCACCACTTAGCTCCTACATAGCTCTTTTGATCCCTAGATCTCAAAGTGCTTTGAAAGGGAGGTAGATATCTTTATGCCTATTCTACAGATGGGGAAACAGAGGCACAGTGAAGTGAAATAGAACCCAAGACTTCTGACACCCAGTCCATTAGTTCTCAACTCGGGGAGCGGGGATGTCATGAACAGTTGCCGGGATATACAACTACCCTTCCTTTCTTTATGGCTACATAGGATGAGGACCCCAAACCTTTTCTTCTGTTATAAAATGGGGTCACAGTATAGAACCACTGCCCCTCATTGCAAGCCAAAAAATAAAGCACATGGAATTTCCAGAAGCATCTACTCAGCAATACGACATATCTAGTCCAAACATAAAAAAAATAAAAAGGTGGAAAATCTGACTGTCACTCCCATATAACCTAGTTTACAGCTGCTTCCTAATCAGATAGGTGCAGAAGAACAGCTAAAGACATTGGGAATGAAAATCTTTTCAAAACAAAAGCTTGAAAATTAATTATACCATTCATAATGCAACAAGAATGGCAGAAAGGGGCTTAAACCAAAGATTACTTTAAAGCGCTTTGCATCTTATTGCTGATTATGAAACTTTTAAAACATATATATAATTCTAATAACTCCAGATAAAGTCATTCATCTGCTGTAGCGTAATTTGTTTATTATGCTGTATATTTCTCTTCGAAGGAGTGGCAATTTGGCTGGGTAACTACATTGTCCCTAGCTAAATTCCCTCTACAGTTTTAATTGAATAGGGTACAATTCTTCATCTCTTGACCCAAACTGCTGACTAGTACTGTTCTGCCAAGTTGAATAGCTCCTGACTTTCAACTTCTTCCACAAGGAATCTCAGTAATTTCAATCGTGGTGTCTAAGGTACTATACAACATGAGTGAAAATGCCAAAAATCTGACCCCAAATCATTAAAAGGTAAAACAGGTTGAGATTGTTAAACTCAAATCTAGCATGATGTGTTGGGGTATCCAGCTTCCATCTAGTACATTCAGTGAAGTAGGTTCTGATTTTGGTTAAATCAGTGAAATTATTCCGGATTTAACTTGGTATAAGTGAGCCTAGAATCTGTTCCAATAAGGGCACTAATGTGATATTTATCTTAGAAATAACACAAGCCTTCTTTTGAAAATCAGATTTAAAACAAAATCTGAGGGATCGCCGTAGGAATTAAAATAATGTCCATAACTGACATTTCGAATACACTGACAATTTTTTTCAGAAATGTTTATGTGAAACTAACATAAGGAGTGAAGAAAATGACATCCATATTGAAATACAGTTCAGCATATTTAGAGCAATATGTGGCAATGAGTCTGGACATATCTATTATTAATATTTAAAAGTAATAGACTCATAAATGGAATACCTCCTAGTGAGATGACTTTAGTCTCATTGGAGGAGTTTATGTTAAAGACCAATTATTTCTTTCCATCATATGTTTCTATAAATGCCCATACAAAAATATCTTTAAGAAGGAAAGACTTAAGTGTCTCAGTCGATTATACTAAGTGGCTTAATTTTGATCAATACGCTTCTGCCTTAAAATGCTTTCAGTGATAAACAAGCATCTTTTCTAGGGAGGTTAATGCTAAGCAATAAGATATTTTGGTAGAATTTTACTTTTTATAAACAGTAAAGAATTTGGTACAGCATGGTTTTCTGTTCATAAGGATATTTTATTTGGAATTGAGTATAGAGCACTCATGGTTTTAGTGACTGATCCTAACTCTTGTGTGTGTCTCTTTTACAGGGTGGCATGTATGTGTTTCAACTCTTTGACTACTATGCAGCTAGTGGTGTATGCCTTTTGTGGGTTGCATTCTTTGAATGTGTTGCTGTAGCCTGGGTTTATGGTAAGTAAGGATCCCTAGATCTAATATGAATCTTATCGTGAGTCAATAATACCAAATTTTACCTATTTGTTGGTCAAAGCTAGCAAGACACCATTCAGCAGACTGAACCATCCATTCCGGAATATTCTGTGAAAGCACCTGGTAGTTTCCCTTATTGTCATTTTGTTCTTCATTTTGAGGGCCACATTTTTAGCTGGGCTCAAGCCAGCCTCCAATTTTTTCACACAGAATTGAATGTTTTTTGCATGCTCATTGGTAGTTAGATGCACAATTAAGCATTTGCATGTGTAAACCTAAGGTCCAGAGCTGAACTTTCGGCTGGTAGTGAAAAGCTCTGATTGTGTCTCAAAGACCTATTTTCTAAAACTGTAATCTCTACATGGGTCAAGCCAGCCAAATAGAAAACAGCTAAGAGAGAGCCTACAGAAAAATCTAGTATCTCTGGTTATTTTTAGGTGATGCAAATTTCCTAAATCTGACAATAACCTATGTTGCTGTTTTAACTGGCTAAGACTGGTCATTTCCATAGTTCTTCATGAACTATTAATATTATAGTATTAACTATAAATACCATTTTTTTTACTTCATATTGAACCACAGTCAAATTTAGATTCAAATGGGCCGTATCAGTTGTTACTCAGTCCTTTCTCAGGCAAAACTTTTGCCAACTTCCATGGTAGCTCTGGAGTTAGTATTCTACACAGTATTCTACTGCAACAGTATGAGAAGAGAGACTTCCCTCAACCTTTCAGTGCCACCATGCAAGGTCTTTTTGAAAGTCCTGTGCATCACCCTTCTTGAACAACATTGTACACAACCCTTTAATGTAACATTTCCTCTTTACTATGGAAATTAGCATCCACAGTTAGCCACAGACACTCCTCTCGAAACACAAACAGCTCCCAGAGACTCAAAACAAGCCACTATTTTCCCCCTTCAGCGCCTTCTCAGCCCCAACTGTGCAGTTGTATTAGTGCAATACCACTTGGTTACTGATGTCCTACACTATGTGGCTTTCATATACAGGCTCTTGATAATGCTCTTTTCTTCACCAAATCACCAAGTGACTATGTATTCCAGGCGCTGATAATATGTATGATGCCATTGAAGATATGATTGGATACAGACCTGGTCCCTGGATGAAATGGAGCTGGATTCTAATCACACCACTTCTTTGCGTGGTAAGTACAGAATCACACTATGTCTCATCTTGCACTTGTTTTTCCTTCCAACCTTTGTTCTGTTTTTTTGTCCTGTAAAGGGGAACATCCCAGAGGGCCACTGTGTGCAGGTACCAAACTGAAAGGGGTACACGTAGGTTGGAAATGCTCTGTTTCTCATTCAGTATTATATATAACACAAAAAGCTATGTTGCAAAGACCAGCATTCAGAAGTTAGGAAATGCCAGAATTAAGGTTGCCTGTGCAAAATTGCCTGGTCCATTCGGTCCTCCCCGTAGCTCCTTATCCAGTTTCAATGTTCTCCCTGAGCCAACTGGCTCCCAACCCCACCCCACCCTGTTTCCCTCATTGGTTCCAGTACCAGCCTTCCCACCCAGCCATGCCCAGATTTCCCTCATCCCCCACTAGCTCCCTGTCCTTGGCTCCTGATCCAGCCAGTCCTAGACTCCCCACAGCTCCAAGTCCCAGTCTCCTCCATCTCCCAGTTACTCTCCCCCTTCTAGTTCCAGTCTCATGCCACTTTTTCCCCCAGCTTTGTCCCCTCTGTATAAGAGTTAGACAGCTTCATCCTCCACATTGCCTGAGGACCAGTGTGTATGTGTGGGGTGGGGGGATCACTGAGAGCATAGGAGAGATAGGTTCCCTATTCTAATTTCTGGTGCCTGACCCTGTGCTCTGTGTGGATGGTACATGCACAGTCTGGTCAGCGCTAAGACCTGTGAGACGCTTGAGCATGCTCAGTGAAGATAGAATCGTCTGAGATTTTAGTGTTGAGCTCTAGCAGGTCTCTACTGAGCATGTGTGAACTATGATTTTTCAAAGGCTTATTTATAACTTTGTCAAATTTCGGCGGATTTTCATGGGGATGGTAAAAGTCCGCTCTCTGAAACAAAGGCCTCCTGCCAAATTCCAAGGCCTTACACCAAAGTATGGTGGGGAGGGGGGCATTAGAGCATTTCAGAGAAAAGATCTCAAGAATTTTTTTAATGGGCGAAACAATATATTTTTCCTTAGCCTTGTCTTCAGAAATGACTCAACCATTTTGGCTGAAATTTTCCAATCAATCAATTAATGAATCAATATCTATCAATCAACCTTAGGCTGACACTCAGCATGGAAAACTTCAGCCCAAATGGTTAAAGTTTGGTAAAGTTATAAAATAGCCAAAAACAGGATCTTATACTGGGAAGTATTGAGCCACTTTAAGCATAGACAGTGCTACCAGCCCCAGCTATAGTGGAGCAGTGTCAGCTAGTCTTGATGAAGATGTGGGATGTTTTTATGCCAGTGCTGTGTAAATGTTGACAATTTGAGGTGGACAGTTGTAGCACATGGCCTCAACACAGCAGAATTCCTATATGCAAGGCAGTGGCTGGAGAAAATCAAGTCCCCTCATATTCATATTTCCTATTTTCTTGCGAAGACACACACACACACAGAAAATATTTCCTTTCTCACTGATGCATGTTAATGCAACACAGTAGATTCACATGTCCGATGTAAAACCTCATTACTGTCAAAGCAAGTGGGCTTGCTTGTTGAGTGTAGGTGTCTGATGAGTCATCTCTCTTTCAGTCTTTCTGACTGCTAGACAGCTTTGCTGTCACTCACCTGACCCAGCTCCAGGTCACAGTCCCTTCATAATTTCCAGTGTCAAAGCTGACTTCAGCTTTGCAGGATATTGTAGGATATATAGCTTGACATGAGTGAACAGAAGTGAACAGCATTGTGGGAAATACATAATATAGTTCGGTTAACATACCTGCACATGCTGGGGATAGCTCAGTGGTTTGAGCCCAGGGTTGTGAGTTCAATCCTTAAGGGGGCCGCTTAGGGATCTGGGGCAAAATCAGTACTTGGTCCTGCTAGTGAAGGCAGGGGGTTGGACTCGATGACCTTTCAAGGTCCCTTCTAGTTCTAGGAGATAGGATATCTCCATTAATTTATTTAATGTAGTGTGCATGGCACCTAACATATATGTTGGCTAACACTATGCTCAAAAGTGAGCACAGATGAGGAGAGTTCAGGAGAGGGGAGATACTGTAAGAGTACTGTAATACTATCCTGACCAGGACTTTGGAACAGCAAAAGAAAAACTTGTCCCCTTAGAATCCATCATTGGACGGGATGGGACAGGACTCTGGAGGTTAGCCAGTGCTAGATAGATGCCCATGCAGTGCAGACCTGACTCACTGGGCTTATGGCGATCTACCTCACTGTTAAGTGGCTGTTTGATTTAAAGAGCATTCAAGAACCTGGCATACAAACTGAAGCACAAAACCTAGCTGTGTTGGTTGCAGAGCAGAAATAAGTAGTTTTCCTAATTTTGCAAGGGGGAAGAGCATTATATCTTTCCCTTGCGAAGTAACCAGTACTGAAATAAAGCAACTTTATGCTGGAGGACAAGTTGGTCAGTGTTAGGAAACGAGGTAAAGAACTGCACAGAGCATTTCATTTGCAATGAACAAGTGTTATTGGTTCTACAAAATGCAGGAACTGTGCTACATGTTTGAGTGCTATCTACTGGGGCCATATCTATTAACTGGCTATTTACATAAACATGCACATATAAAGCTCTCTTGTAACAGTTTCAGTGTAGAATGTCTTTCCCGTAGTTTAAAATGTTTAGCAAAGTTGGCCAGTGCTGCCTTTTACTGCCTTCCTTTTCTGGGTCCCAGTGTTACCATATCCTGTGTAAGCTGCAGTGGATCCACAATGCTAGTACCTATGCTATAACCCTTCTTCTCGTTTTGTTTTCCCTCCCTCGCAGGCATGCTTTATCTTTTCTCTGGTCAAGTATACACCTCTGACCTACAACAAAGTTTACACATACCCTGACTGGTCAGTCGGCGTGGGATGGGTTCTTGCTCTTTCCTCCATGATCTGCATCCCATTGGTGATGGTCATCCGCATTGTACAGTCGGATGGCTCACTTATTGAGGTAAGAATGACCACATAAATGGTGGATGGATGGATACGTGTGTGTGTGTGTGAGACAGAGCGAGAAAAAATTAACATTTAAGAGTAAATGGTGGCTTGAGTTGGGGGGGCCGCTCTCTTTGTATCTGCTTTGTTGATTTGGCTCCAGGTAAGTTATTTTAACATACAGTGGATAAAGCAAGCCACACTGGAGTGGTACAATATGGCACACACTTGTCCATGTCTTTAATATGGAAGGGCTGCTAGTGGAGAATACAGACCCCAGCATGCTAAGCTCCACCTTCTCCATCTTGATAAAGATGGAGCATGGCACGATGTGACATGAAGCTGCCTCCTGTACAAAAGATAGGCCAGCTGCAGCCTGATTCATGTTGTGCAAAATAATCACAACCCTTGGGAAGCTGTCATTGTGGCTCTTGCTAGGGCAAAGTTGAACACCTCAGTTTAACCAATATAAATAATCATTTTTCAGATCACCAGTTCTTTCAGCGAATATTATGAATCTTATCTAACCAGATTAAAACCTAAGCCTTCTGGCCTCAAAAAAATATCAGCTGCTATTACTTGCCCTTCCATGTCTGTGTTCTTTTTGTTCAACAAAATGTTCTTTCTTTGAGCACAGTTATTTTGTTAGTCTAATTTCACACAGAAACTGAACTATGCCTACGTGCACCAGAGCTCAGTTTGCAAGGCAAAGGGAGCTCAATAGGTAAAATAGTAGAGAGACGATTATAGCTAGAAAAGTTAGAGAGAAGGCCAAATCTAAATCCCGCACCCAAGAACCCATGGAATTTTGTGGCTATTTAGTACCACATGTGAAGGCCATGCCCGACCTCATCTCTTGTCAAAAACTCAATTCCCGAATTTTAGGGAAACTCTTTTCTGAACTTTTTGGCTCTTCTCTCTCTCTCTCTAAAATGAACCAAATGAAACATTGGCTCCAAACGCTCCCAGACTTTGGGGAAACTTGGATTCAGATCTGAACTTTACAGCTTGGGGGTCCTACCTCGGCCAGATACATGCTTAGTGCACCTCAAAGACAAAGTCAACTACATTCTTCTATTCGCCCTTCACAATGTTTCTTCATCTTCTCTTCAAACTGTGCTTTTTTTCAGTAAAGAAAGTAGCTTTTCCCAGAACACAGTAATACACTTGAATTTGTGTGTTCTCCAAGTTTTAATGGTCTTTTTTAGTGCTGGCTAGGACATTTTGTTTTCCTGCCTGCATTCTCACCATCTATTCAGAAAGAGGTCTAAAAGTAGCCAAAGCTGCCTTTTAAGATCATCTTAGGGAAGGGAGGAGGTAACCACTTGTCTAGTTCCTTCTTTGTGAACTGAGAACTAGAAGGTTGCAGCTTGCCAATGAACTACCCTGTTTAAAGGCAGGATTGTTTTCAATACGAGAGAGAACACATGAATCGGCGGAGATGCTACAGCACTGAAATGCAACTTGTGTTTAGTCAGACAGTCTGACTTCCCATCCAATGAGGCCCTGGTGCTCCTTCTTGAATAAAATATTAGGGTTGGAAAGGACATTCTGGGTCATGTAGGCCACACTGCTGCATAGCAATAGTACAGTTTCCATTAGTCTTATAGCATCCCTGAATATTTGATGGCCAAGTTTAGCCTCAAATACCTCTAATGATGGTAATTCCACAACCTTTCTTGAATTACTTTTCTCTGATCTCCAGTACTTAAAGATACCGCGTTTCATTCTCTAATTGAGGCCAAGGGCTCAAAAATTGACTGGATTACAAAATAGCTTTAGGGGAAGATATATCCGTATGCTTCAGAGTATACGCCAACTACAAGTTGAAGGGGCTAAGGAAGCAAGCTCCCTATTGTGCAGGTTGGTTAGCATCTGGTACCAGCCATTCTTGGACTCAGGATACTGGTCTAAGTGGACTCTGGTCTGAGCTAGTATGGTATTTACTAATGACCTAGCCTAATTCAGATACTGGGTTTAATAATAAAGATGAAAGTGGCCTCCCTGACAGTGAGCCAGATTAATTGGTAGCATCAGTGGAGATGCTCGTGGCAGTAGGCACTACACTTGTGGCTAAGCAGCTGCAAGATTAAGCCCTTCATAAGATGCTCAAGATCATTTGGAGAGAACTATGTTTTATGACAACACACTTTTCTAGACTCTTGCTCTTAGGATCGATGTGGCCATTTTTCTAACCCTTGGCTGTTGCTCTTTTCCCTTTCAGAGAATAAAAACAGTGGCTGCCCCTAGGGAAGTGAGTCGGTGGGCCAAAGAAATGGAAAGCACCACCTCATTCTGCCCCAATGGAACTCCTAATGGTGGACTGATTAAGCCAACTCACGTCATTGTGGAGACTATGATGTGAGCTCTCTCTGTGAGAGGATAAACCTGCTTTAACTGCCATTTACTAACCATAGATTCTCATAGGACCGGGTTTACAGAGCTTTATATTTGCACTAGGATTTATTTTTATTTCTCACAGAGAAAGTTATTTTTTGTGGTGTTTTTTCTTTTCTTTTTCTTTTTTTTTACGTATTTTGTAAGGTAATCACAGCAGAAGCCTCTTGCAGGAGGCAGTTTTCATATCAGACAGACCTATTACAGGAATTTACTACCATTTGGGTTTTAATAGCTCTCTGAATATTATACATCTTATCACTTGAAATTGATTTTCTTGCCAGCAATATATTCAAATCTCAGAAAGCAATTTTTTAGGTGCTGGTGTGGTTGGGAACAGGGTAAACCCTAGAACTCATGAGTGAGTTCTGTTGAGAGAAATTGTAAATGAAGAAAAAAGGTGAATGTTGCTTCAAGGGATTGGTTTTCAAAGGTGTAGTGCTTTTCTTCCTCTGGTTCAGGCAGGGTGAATGACAGATTTCTGAGTCAAGATGTTACCTTTGCTATGGTCCGTGTAAAAATATATATATATCTGTTCAACTGGAGGAGAGAAATTTATGGGGGAGGGAGGACTGTAGTTAGGAATTAAATACCCAATCAGGATGCCTGTCCCTCCTGAGCATTGTGTAAAAAGTCCAGTCACAGTAGACGACAAAATACGTATTGCCTACAGAAGACATTTTGCCTGAGGCAGGAGTTTTGTGTACATACCCTTTAGTTTTCCTGCACACCGTAGGTTAGCTGAGGTGTTCCTAGTTTAAACTTGCACTTTGTATGAACAGAACAGTAGGAGGAGTCTGTGCGATAGCTAAGATCTGAATTATGAAGAGGCAGCATTCATGTTTTATGGAATTTAAAATAGATATGTATTTTGTAAACTGTTGGGCTTTGGTATCAAAAGAAAAATATGTTGAGGACAATGATCGCACCAAGCTTAACACCCAGCCAGTTATTCATTACCCCAGGAGCAAAACAGCCCACGGATATATTGTACACCAGGCATTTCCAGCAGGCACATTTTTAATAATAGTAATTAAGTGAAGAGGACAATAATGCTTAGCACATCCATATGCGCTGTTCAGCCGTATACCTCAAATTGGTATCCCTATTTATTTATTTATTTATTTAGACTATTGTTGGTGCAGTGGGGGAAGCAGGCCCAGGGAGGGAAAGTGACTTGGCCAAGGTTACAGCAACTCAGTGGCAGAGCTAGGACTAGAACTCAGGTCTCCTAACTGGCTTGCCCCAGAGGACCATCTACCACCATTTTGGTTTTTTGGGTAATGCATGTATGGGGGACAAAAAGGGGGAATTCAACCTACTATAAACTAGGGCTTTATGTAAATTAAGAGACGGAAGTCTGTAATATTTCTTTGGTTAAAAAACATTACATACCATTCCAATTTAGACTTAAGAAAAATAAAAAGAAAGCATTTAATGCAGTACATCGCTCCTAAACAGTTTTTAAAGCTGGATGGCTGTAGCTAAACTGATCACATAGGCCAGATCGAGAATTTCAATAGATATTTGCTCCCTGAAGAATTTCAAAAATCTGGATAGATCTTGTTTCATAAACCTCAACACACGCTGAGAAGAGGCTCCCTAAAGAAATCCAGCCCTTTCCATTTGGGTATTGTACTTGGGAGATAATCCTCCTAATCATAGTGCCACAGTTACGCTAGCCAAAGGGATCTGGGAAGAGATTCAGCAGCCGAATCTGTTCCTGCTTATACTGTTGCCAGTTCAGTTTGTCTATGGGTAGATTTTTGCAGTTTAAATGGGAACATATCCAGTTCTTAACATTCCTACATGGGACATTTTTAAAAAGATGGCCCATGCATTAACTGTAGGCAGCGTTGTTACAGCCATGTCGGTCCCAGGATATGAGAGAGACAAGCTGGGTGAGGTAATCTCTTTTATGGGACCAACTTCTGTTGGCGAGGGAGACAAGCTTTTGAGGTACACAGAACTGTCATGCACTAACTGGTCACTGCAGCAGAAGCATATGTCGAGTTAGTATTAATGTAAAACGTAAGGGGCAATTTAGAAGTAAGAAAGGGACCAAAAAAAAGTGTCTTGTATAGCGGGAGAGTCTTTGAGTCTCTGTTTTTAAGTCAAAGAGGCTGAATTCCAGCAACAAAAACAGCCAACACCCCGTTGCTTGTGTTTTCTTTTCCAATTACTGTATTATGAGAGCTGCAGCTGAAAACACTTTTATAATTTGTTATGGCAAATATCACATCTCACGTGCTGGCCTGATGGTAATAGCCACCCTAAAGCTACTCCAGGTGTCTTGACCATCTCAACAGAAGAATTTTCTAAGCCAACATGATTACAACTGGATTTTAAGAACTTTACTTAAGAAAAAAAAAACCCAACAATTCCTGTGTTTAATTTTTTTTATCTTTAACTATCAAAAAGCAATTCAATTAAAGCTAAAACTCTGTCAGACATGTTGTTCTGTATTCCAGCCTTTGTGGCAACAGAGAAGGTCTGAGCCAAAGCCTGCTGAAGTCAAATCTCGTCATACGTTGTGTATAGGCACAATGGCACGAGTTAAGGTCAGAATAGCAGCCCAGTAATTAAATTCCTCGTTTCAGTTAGTGTAAGTGACAGTAGCATATTTTGTTATAGACTCACATTTTGTGTGTGCGGACATACTCTATAAGGTGTATATCTGAGAGGGACACTAATGAGAAAAATAGTTTGAAGGTTGAGATTTCAAAAGTAGGTGGTGCGTCAGAGATGGATATTTCACCATGCTTCAGATATGGTGGAGGGGGGATTTGCATTAGGAACCAGAGGGTTAATACTACACCTTTAAAACTACAAATAAACAAGACCGAGAGCCCAGCTCCATTTTGACTCAAACTGTGCCATTCAAATCAGTCGCTTCCAAGTGAAAGTGTCTCACACACATATGCAATGACCTCCCTGAAGTTCTGTTGGTGTAAGTTTCGCTGGCCCCGGCTTGTGCTGTTCAGCCTGAGTGCCAGATTCATGATGCGCTATTAAATCATTTCTGTAAAACAGTCACCCAGAACAATGCTGGACACCAGCCCACGGTTTTCAGCACAAGTGAGCCTAGTCACATTTTAGAATGGTTCCTAATGTTTTATCAGATTTCTAAATTTTACCTGGTGGTAAACTTGCATTTCAACATTGTAGTCTGCTAAATGAAAACAAAAACAAAAACAGTAAATGATTCTTTCAAGTTTATGTTTTCTACATATTTATGATTGCAACAATAACTAATTTTCTAATTTACTTTGTAACCATGTGTGACCTATTTTACCTGTCCTATGCAGCTGAGGCACTAAATATCATGACTAATCATAGGTGAACTGATTTCAGTTAAGGGGAAAAATACCCCAGATGTTGGCCCCAAAATCTTTGGGGGGAAAAAAAAAATTCTCTTTTTACATTTCATGCACTTTTATACTTTGTGGTTTCTTTTGGGTTTGGACATGGCAATATTTCCAACTTCACTGAAATCAAGTACTGAAAATTTCATGGGTGAAATCTTGTGCTCATAAGATTTTCAGACCAAAGCGGTTAATCGAAACTTAGGATTCTTATCTAAACCGAACCTTCCAAACTCTTGCAGTTCACCTGTCACTAGTCGTGATCTCATTAAAAGTCACGCAGTATAACGATGTAACCAGTAGACTGTAGTGGTACAACATGGTTTCATGAACAGAATTTGTTTTGGTTCTCATTCATTTTCCTTTTCATGATGACTCTGATCCAAACAGATCTCTGAGCTTCCATATGTCCTCAATGAAGTTTGGGATATGAAAGCCAACATGGATCTGTTCCTATGCAGCAAATGAAAATAAAAAAGCACAGTAGTTCTATGTACCACCTTAAAATACGTTGCTATCCAAGCTGCAGTGGAAGGTCAGCTTTTGAATGTGGGTTCGGGAAGTAGATCAGCACTGGTGCACTTGAATAAAAAAAAGTCTGCAGCCTTCTAATTGTTTTAACAAGAAAACAGCAGAGCATTTTATATTGTCACTGTAATCACATGATCAGTGGCTGATCAGAACTCGGGCTTGTTTTTAATGTAGTATATGTCCTAACTGCTCACCTGCAGATGGACATGGCTACCCAGCCTCTGTCCCAAATAGCTCTAGATCTGAAAAAGAGTGAAAATGTCCAGCAGTCAGTAGTACGTTGTTGAGCAGAATTGACAATTTGGTAATGTCCGTCTTTGGCATAAGTGCATTCAAATCCTGTACCCATTGATAACAATCGCTTACCCGCCATTTGTCTTCAGTGGGCGAACGACTGAACACTTGGAGGAACTGGTTATGAAGCCATGGCTTGTGCTCACTGTGGGATCAGGTGGGGAGACAGTGTAAATAAAGGGTTAAATAAGATGTGTATTGGGTGGAGGGCACAGACTACTAAAGTATTTCAAGTGCACTGGGAAGAAAGATGGCCATCACCTCACATCCAGGAAATTCAGTGCATTTGGCACGCTCCCTGTAGCAAACAACTATTTTCAATTAACATCTTAAATGAGACCTCCTCCCCCCCACACACAATTAAAAACAGCCTTAGGGGAGGTGCTGCTATGTCCAGTCTTCAACATATTGACGTCATTCTTGGGAGATGATCTGATCAGGTATTGCTGGCAAAGAAAACTGTACAAAGGAAAAGCGTTTTTGAATGCACTGCAGCACCAATGCCACCCCACCTTGTTTGATGATTCACAGGAGTGCACTGAAGTAGGGTGGGACAGGTTAGCCAGTATTCATAGGTGAGAAGCCTAAACCTCAAGGAGCCGAGATCACCTCTTCTTAACTAGGGATGGGGTGAAATAAAAGCTCAGAACCAACCACCCTGAACTTTGGGGAACCTAGGTTAAGATTCATGGCTGCCTCTGTCATAGGCTGAACTGAAATCCCAGGTCCAAAATACCCCCAAATTGTACAAGAGTTCAGCTATGGATCTGAAGGTCACAGGTTGGGCCCATTTCTTCCAGAGTTAGATGCCAAAGCCTTGTATTTAAAATTAAAGGTTATTATTAACTCTCAGCTGAGAAGCATTCAGGAACTACTAGGACACAACCTTTAATCTAGGATATTTATTCATTTTTAATCTAGGATGAACACGCTCCTAATTGTACTAATTTGTTTACCGAGGAATTAATGTTAAATAGGACATGTTGGGTTTACAGCTTTTCGATGTATTACTCTTTAGTTTATTCTAAGCTACTGTAAGAAGGACATCAACGCATCAGATCAAATCCCTAGCTACAAAGCAAACATGACTCAAGCATCTGGGGACACGGAACATAAGAGAGCAAGCCAGATGCGTGAAATAAGACCTTGATCTTGCATGCCTTGGTTAAAAGGCTCACTGATTTCAATGGACAATTTAATTTCAGCAGAAATTTTAACCCAAGACAGTGCCCAATCAGGACTACAGCTGGTCAAAAAAATTTTTTTTTAAGGAAACACCTCCCCCACCACCACCAAACTGAAAATGTTTCATTCAAAGGGTTCTATTTTTTCCAAAGGCAAACATTTTCAGTTTTTTTCCTTGTTTTTATTATTATTTAAAAAGTGGACATTTTGAAAAAAAAATTCTTCAAAATTTCCATTACAAAACAAAACAAAAAAAACCCACCCAGGTGGCGTTTTTCAACCATTTCTAATCAAAAGCTGAAACAAGATCTGAAAAAGCTTAACCAAAGTACAGCTTTAGTGTTGGTTTTAAACCTGGAAACAAGCAAGGATCAAAGTCTGTGAAGGCAGGTTGAAAAATGTGTGCGCAGGGGGAGGGATTCACAAAAATTCTGTTAATTTCGCCTTCCATTTTTCCCCCATTAAAATCAGAATTTTAGGCCCACTCAGAGGCTACAAGAGAACTAGGAAAAGAAACTGGATTTCTTTAGCCTGGCACTTGTCTGTAAATCTTTTGCAGCTGGGGTGTGAAAAGGTTTTTACAGTAGACAAAGTGGCAGAACACCAGTGTTGAAATTTTGTTGGGAGGCTGAACATTGAGGTGGTCCATCATTTGCTCTTGTCCAAGAACCCAAGGATGTTCTCTTAGCATTGGATTAATTGAAGTACTGATCTGAAACGCTCATTGTTTTGCTAGGATTTTTTTTTTTCAGTGTGATGTTGTGATTGTTACCTGATATGTGTCCAGGGACTTCACATAGTAAGCGGTGGTCCATCTTGTTGGATGTAGTTAGCTAAAAAACAGTGATGGTGGTGATTATTTTTGTTTTTTATTTAAATTCCTAATAACTGTAACTACAGTATGTGATAAGTAGCACATGGAAGAGTGAGGATGTTTAAGTCACCTGACCTTTTTTAAGACTTTAACAATAATTGTTTAAAAAAAAAATCTGGTTTTGTTCTGAGCAGGACTGTTTGTATTTGAATAAGATCCTGGAGTGTAATTCAATCCTTAAAACTAGCCTTTGTGTATACAGTAAATGTTTGTATTTTGCAGTATCTGTTTTGATTTTTAGATAAAAATGTATATTGATATTTTTAAGTCATCTTTGCTTTTTTAGATGGAGTTTGTAATCACCTTATAACAGAAAATAAATCTTTCCTTTATAAATCAAATGCATCTGTCAGTTATTTTTAAGTTTCAAATGAACCTCAGGAGACAACAGGTTATACTCTGTGCTTATTGCAAAATACGCACAGTGCATGCTATGCTTTGGAATAGATTTCAGAATAGGATACTTTCAAATAACCGTATTTTATTAAATTGGGTCCTCACAGCTACACTACTATTAGACTTAGCAGTCGATGAACTCACCGCCAAACATGTTCAAGTTCCAAAGAAAGTGGATGGTTATTCATACCCAAAATTTGGGGTGACTTCCCCCAATCTGCTTCATTTCAGCCTTGCTCAAGTTTTCATAACTTCCTTGCTTTGGATTCCCCCACCCCAACGCTTCCCTTACGTTCAGCTCTGCTCACTCCATACTCCCTCCCTTGTCCCCACCCTCACTCACTTTCACCAGGTTGGGGCAGGAGGTTGGGGTGCGGGAGGGAGTAAGGGGTGCAGGCTCCAGCCGGGTGGTGCTTAGGCAGCCTCCCTGCCTGCCCTGGCCCCGCGCCGCTCCCAGAAGTGGCCAGCATGACCCTATGGTCCCTGGCGGGGGCAGGAGGCTCTCCATGCTTCCCCTGCCTCCAGGCACCGCCCCTGCAGCTCCCATTGGTTGCAATTCCCGGCCAATGGGAGCTGCGGAGTTGGGGTGCAGGCAGCACATGGAGACCCCTGTCCCCTCCAGGGGCCGCAGGGACGTGCTGGCTGCTTCCGGGAGCAGCGCGGGGCCAGGGCAGGCAGGGAGGGAGGCTGCCTTAGTCCCGCTGTGCCACCGGACTTTTAGTGGCCTAAAATCTCCCAATGTGGCTTTAGTAGCCTATGGAAGCTAAAGCCCAATTCTGGGAGACTCCCGGCAAAACCAGGAGTGTTGGCAACCCTACTTTGAGGCAGGACAGGCATACTTGTGTCCAGTTGTATCAAACGCTGCAGAGAAGTCCCGCAGGTGAATATGGATGCATTTCCCTTGTCTGTGGAGGAAATAGTGTAAGGAGAAGAGAAAACTGCGGGGGCGGGGGGGGAAGAGAGAGAGAACAGTTTTTAAGTATGTAAAATTGTTATAATGAAGATGGTAAAAATTGTCTCTCAACTTCTCAGGTTAGAGTGAGAAGCAATGGGTTGAAATTGCAGCAAAGTTGGTTCAGATTGGACAGTAGGAAAAGCTTCTGAACTGTAATGGTAGCTAAGGGCTTGTCTATACTTACCGCGCTGGTTCGGCGGCAGGCAATCGAACTTCTGGGTTCGATTTATCGCGTCTTGTCTGCACGCGATAAATCGAACTCAGAAGTGCTCCCCGTCGACTCCGGTAATCCTGCTCGCCACGAGGAATACGCGGAGTCGACGGGGGAGCCTGCCTGCCGGGTCTGGACGGCGGTAAGTTCGAACTAAGGTACGTCGACTTCAGCTACGTTATTCACGTAGCTGAAGTTGCGTACCTTAGTTCGATTTGGGGGTTTAGTGTAGACCAAGCCTAAGAAACAAATTGCCTAGGGAGATTGTGGAATCTCTGTCATTGGTTTTTAGTAACAGGTTAGACAAACACCTGTCAGGGATGGTCTAGTATTCCTGCCTTGAGTGCAGGGGACTGGACTACATGTCCTATTGAGGTCCCTTCCACTCCTACACTTCTGTGATTCTATGGGTACAACAAATTTTCCATAGATTGCACTGGCTTCCGGTTCCAGTCAAAGTGGTCTTCATGGTGTTCATCTGTACATTTTATATGACCCTGGGTGTATTAGAGATTCTTGCCCATTCTATTGCCATTACACTTGAGCTCAGCTGGACTGCTTTGATTAGTCTCTAGATTTGAATACATGGGCAAGTGGAGACAGGATCTGAATCTGACCCCACATCTGTGTAAATTAGGAGTAACGCCAGTGAAGCTGAGGTTATGGGTCTATTACAGGAGTGGATGGCTGCGGTTCTGTGGCTTGCACTGTAGAGAAAGTCAGACTAGATGACCATGATGGTCCCTTTTGGCTTTATAGACTATGAGACTAGACTTCTGTACATGGGTTTAGTCATAGACATATGAAGGATTAACAAGAAAGTCCATGCTCTTAAATTGGCATGTTTTTTCATTTCATTTTTTTAAAAATACAGAATTAGATACATACCATGATTTGAAAATCACACACAACACATCTGGTTCACAGTGAATTCAATAACAAGTGGAGAAGAATTGCACAATCAATTATTTCACAAAGAGCTTTCAGCCTTGGATAATCAGATCAGCTCCTGTTTGCTCTTTCAAAGAAAGGGACTAACTACATGGATATGTTGCAGTTCAAACAGAAGAAAATCAATTCAGGAAAGGCCTAGGGCCTGTGTTATACAGACACTCCCTGGGTTACACAAGACCCGACTTATGCAAATTCACACTTACGGAAAAAGTTCCATAAGCCAGAAATAGGATTTTTGAGTTGCGGAAATTTTTGCGTAACGTACGGGTATATGTTTTCGACATATGCAAAATTCAAATTACGCAAGGCTTTCCAGAATGGAACGATTGCATAAGTCGGGGGGCAGCTGTACAGAGATGAGTCAAGTCCCTTTGGGCCTTAGAATCTCTGAACTATCATGTACTGTTCTGGCGTTTTCAAGTGAAGTTTGTGAGCTAAAAATATGGAATATGTGCCCATCTTCTAACAAAGATTACTGGACTTGTTTGACATGGAAACTGCATCAAACACACCCAGTCACTCACAGAACAGAGTTATAGTGGACATTACACCGCGGGGCATAAAATTAAATGAATTGAGAGCCAGAGAAAAGAACTACCAGCCCTGGAGATTTGCACTTTGTTTATCCCCAGAAGACTACAGCACAGGCAACCTAAGGGCTAGCTCCGCACCTCACCAGCACACTGATTCACCACTCATCTGGTAGCTGGAGGCAGCACCTCCTTCTCTGAGAGTGTAGTTCAGTTTCCACAGACAATGAGGTGACGGACAAGTCTCCACATTACACATTCTAGGGAATGGACCACGAGGGTTCACCAGTTTATTTCACGTATCTCTTTGAACTACTTTTCTAGGGCAGCAACTTTCTGCCGTTACTGTCTTCAGCAGCATCTCAAATGGTAACTTAGGGAGAAGAATAGGAGTACTTGTGGCACCTTAGAGACAAGCAAATACAGGGATGCCAATCTCTCTCTCACTTGTCTGAAGCCTGGGGTGTGCAGTCACACTCTTGACTGTGAAATCAGGATCAGATCTGGGATTTGTTTCGGTCTCTAGTTTTCCTTCTGTAGCGAAGATTTAGTAGCTGAACTCCTTTAAATAGCTTTCATCAATATTATTATGCATCTTAGGGCAGATCTTTTCTTTCAGAGAGAGAAAGAGATCCAGTGATAGGCACCCTGTAAAGACTGTAGATAGTAGGCCCATGCCCAGGACCTGCACTAGTGCAATGATAAATGGCCATACTGTGCCTATAGATCTTTTTTAAATTAAGAGAAAAGGACATTTTAGACACTCCATCCTCCCCCCCCCCCCGTGGTTTTTATGTTTATTTATTTATTTATTTTAAAAAGGCTTGGTCAATCAGGTTCGTTACCTGCCTACCACCAAACCAGACATCTCAAACTGGGCATTGATGGAGCCCTCTAAGCCTCTGACCCCTTTAAGTGCCTCCTTCGTTTTCCCCACCTCAGTGTCCTCCACACTAACACTGAACCCATTTGGTCAAATTCATCAGGGGCATAACTTCCATGTGAGCTAAAGGAGTCCCACCAGGGCTGAATTTAGCTCATACACGCTCAGCATGCTCTTAAGATTCCGCCCACCTGCAGAACAAGAATCCTACAACAGCAGCCCAACCTTCAGCGCCCATGCCACCAAGCAGCCCATGTCAAAGAGCCACTGTGCAGCTTGTGTGACACCCAGACGGCAGAATACTTACACCTCCTCAACGAGAAGGTCCCCAAGTCCCAGGAGATTCTTCACATGAACTTGTAAAGTTACCACCACCTCACAGCAGTGTGGTTTGTAAATTAGGTTTTGTAGTGCAGTGTGCATTTTATTACAGGGTAGGTGCCTCGAACGTTAAGACAATCGAAAGCATTCCAGAGGAGCTGCCAGATGTGATAACTTTTCCCTTGTGTACAAGGGAGGCCAGGTTAAGAGGATACCGAACTGCTGAAACCACATTTGCTCCATTACATGTAACAAGATTTTATGCAACGCATACAGAGCCCTCTGGTTTGCCCTGCGTTGCTTTGGCCGTTGATTCCAAGTATCAGGTGCCAAACATCTAAAGGTCTTTGTTCTAAAGAATTTGCTACCTAGAAAGACAGCCAAAGATCACAGATAAGAGCTGTTTACTGTAGCAATAACCTGACCACAAATATTTCTATACAAAGATTAGGTAAATTAGGAGGAATTATCAGAGGTCAAATCAAGGGCTTGATCCTGCAAGGCACTGATCATTCTGGGCTGGATCCAGAAAAGCATTTAAGCATCCAAGTGCTCCTACTGGCTTCAATGGAACTACAGATATACTTAAACCTTGAGACACTGAACAGCATAACAGTGTGGCTGTAAAATTATACTGCCCAAGGCAGCAAATTGAATAAGCCTTAGGTTAGGTCTACACTGCAATTAGACACCCACAGCTGGCCCATGCCAACAGGCTTGGGTTGCGGAGCTGTTTAATTGCGGTGTAGATGTTAGGGCTTGGGCTGCAGCCAGACCTCTGGGACCCTCCTACCTTTCAGGTCCTAGAGCCCAAGCCCAAACTTCCACTCCCACTCCCAGGTCTGTTGGCACCTAATTGCAGTGTGAACATACACTTAGTGGCTTGGGCAGCAAAATTGTACAGCCACAGTGTTATGTTAAGTACATGCTGTAGGGTGACCATCTTTTCAAAAGGCAAAAGCGGGACACATGCAGGACTCGGTGGCTCTGCCTCCGCTCTGCTTTCCCCCTGAGGCCCCACCACCTGACCAGGCCAGAAGCGGAGCTGTGGTAGGAACTGCCCAGGGAGCCCAAGCTGCTGTGGGCAGCCCTAGACCCTCCACTTGCCCTGGGTGGGGGAGCAGTTGCCTGAGAGCAGCCTCCGGCCTGTGTCCCCTTCTCCC